CAAGACAGCTCGCACAAGTGGCCATCAAGTGCAGCATATACCAAGGTGATGCACTGTTGCCACTGCTGTTCTGCCTAGGCTTGAACCTCCTCAGCCAGATAATCACAAGGACTGGATATGGATACAAGTTTAAGCGTGGGAATACCATCAGCCACCTCCTCTACATGGATAACATCAAGCTTGTGCTAAGAGTGAACGAGACATCGACTTGCTGATCCACCTGACACAGTTCTACAGTGAAGTGAGGACATTGCAAAATCATTCAGACTGGAGAAGTGTGGCTGCATGGTAATAAAGAGAAGGAAGATTGTTAGATATCCAGACACATACAGTTCTTTAGTAACAAGCTTCACAGATCAATACCTATGAGGTTTACAATTAACAGAAAAGCAACACTACAAGGGGAGGTAGCCAGATTTTCACATTATGTGTCCAAAATATCATAATTTGAGCCTGGCATTGGTGCCTTGAGTGAGAACTCTAGTTTAATTTGTTTTATGATCCACTTGTTTATTTTCTTGGCTATTCATAGCATTCTCAGAAGTCTTGAAGAACACCAGAGTTCAAAAGCACTGATATTTTTTCTGTCCTGCTTCTTCAGAGTCCAACTTCTGTTTCCATAAAATGTAACAGGGAAAACCATTGCCTGCACAATTCTCATCTTTGTAGGTATACATACATCCCAGCATATGAATATATATTCTACATGTAGGATGAATAAATAAGGAGAGAGTGTGCAGTCTTGTTTCACTCCTTTGCCAGTGGGAAGCCAGTCTTGTTTGTCCATATTCAGTCTGGTCTGTGGCTTCTTGACTTGGTACAGGTTTCATATGAGGACAATGATATGTTCTGGGATTCCCATTTTTCTAAGTACATCCCACATCTTGACATTATCAGCACAAAGGCCTTTCTGTAATCCATGAAGCACATATTGATTTCTTTTTGGTATTCTTTGGCTTTCTCAGTTATCTAGCATACATCAACAGCATCTCTTGTTCCTCAGCCTTTTCTAAAGTCAGCTTGAACATCTGGCATCTCCCTTTTCATGTAGGGTTCTAATTTGCATTGGATTATCCTAAGCATTATTTTGCTAGGATATGATGGCAAAGATTACTTCCCCTTTTTTCTTTTTCTTTTCTTTGTTTTTGTCTTTCTGACTTTTGTGGCAGGGGTGCTGTTTGGAGCATTCTTAGTAAAGTGCTCAAAGATGTTCCCACTGGCTGATTAACAACTCTGGGTCCAATCTTTCATTGCATAAATCTCAAATGGGAAAATTAGATATTATGGTGCTTTGTTAAAAATTATGCCTGCTCCTGAGACTTTCTCACTCAAAATTCAGGCGCAGATAGCATATAGATTTCAGTATGAACTCTAATAATTAGTACTGCAGTACTATAGCTTTGTACCTTTTAAAAGTTGCAAGAACATTTCATCCCAAATTGCCAAGCAAAGGCTGTATTTGGCAATGCATGTTAAGTCTAGATTTATCCTAAAGATGACATAACATTCTAGCCACTGTTCCTAGAATATCTAAGGACGGGTTTGTTTCCAAAGAGACTGGCCAATTAGTTTTTCTAACTTTGTGATTTTTTTTAGACATTTCCTACAATATTTTTGACACATGTGCAATAGTAAAAATAAGCTGCATACTAGGATAATTTTTTTTCTCTCAGACTGTGCCAAGCTAGAGTTTTCTGAGAACTTTTCTTTTCTTTTCCAGAATCAAACTGAGGATTCTTCGGGCAATAAGATGGATTTATCAGTAGGTATGTGTCTAATACCAGAAGGATGTAGTTTCACTTTATTTACATAATATTTTAAACAATACAACTGGATCATTAATGTAATTTCCACATACTGTAACTGCTATATGATGGACAAAAAGAAAAGAGAAAGAACTGAGCTGAAGTGGAAACACCTAAAGTTGGTAGAGTGTGAACAGTAATAATCTGGCTATCTTTGCACTGATTTTTTGGGAGGTCACAATAATTTGGTTTCATTCTGCTAAAAATGATAAACAATTCTTGAAATTCTAGCAGAAATTCTAAGATAAAATCTTGATTAGTAGATATAAATAATATATATTTTGGTTAATCAGAGAAGATTTTTAGGTTATTATCCATGTGAAACCAGGAAAAGGCAGGGCTTCTTTAAAGTGCTAGTGAGTCTGCCAATGCCAGATCCAAATATCTGCACATCTGTTGTCATCTGTGTATTCTTTTGTGGAAATGTGTATTTTTTTAATCATTTCATTTAGCAGCTTTCTAACAACAGTAATATATAATGATAATTATAAGGATACATCAGTTCACACTTCTTCTTCAGGTGGTCTCCAAGATAAGAAGTTTGATGTAGACAAACGAGGCATGAATCTTGGAGATTTTCATGACATAATGAGAAAGAGTCGATCTGGTTTTCGTCCTCCTAGTTCCAAAGATATGGGAAACCCAGATAGTGGGCCTTACTTTGAAAAGGTGAGACAGAGTTTTTTTTTTTTATGATATTCTGTAATAAAAGCTGCTACTCTGTCTTAATTTTCACAGCTGGAATGCCATGTTTAAATATAAGAATTCTAGGGAAAAAAATGTTTATATTGTGTAAATTGAAGATACAGAAAGTTTTTAGATTAGTTCTTCTGAAAAAAGGTACTTTTTATGAAGACTCGGTATTGAAAATATGTTAATATTTATTGTCTTACAGCCCTACCATCTGTCCCAATGTTTTGTATATAGTACAAGAATACACTCACAGATACACCAGTTCATACTTTCTGTCATATATTTCAGCCCTCTTTTATTAATGATTAAACCTACATCTTCCCTTCTATACATAAATCCACTGTGCAAGATCAGATCACCTACTATATATTCAGATCTCTTTACTATTTACTTCTCTTAAATTTCAAGTCCATATGCCAGGATTGTCAACTATATTGTTTTCCATTCCATGGCTTTGATTAATTATAGCTTTCACATAAAACTTTGACATAAGAGGACTAGACTAGGTTACCAGTGTTAGTCATACCCATGCTATATGAAGCATTTTCTACAGCAGAGCCAGGGACTCCACACAGTGGTATATCTCCCTCACATTTGCTCCAGAATCAGGGCTAGAAGCTTCTGAATTTTTTTCCTGTGGAGGACATACTTCCATTCCTAGTTATGTCCCTGCCTTTTTCTGAAGAATGTGCACATCTATAAGCTCTGCCAGCCACCTATGTGGCAGGACCAGCCAAATATCTGATCTTCTTTTCCTGTATTATTTTCCGTTTCCTTTTTTTTTTTTTGGTCCATGTGGCCTGCTGCAGTTAGTACATCCAACAAAATCTCAGACAAGAATTCATTATCCATAATCACATCAGAGGATCTCTGACATTTGGGGCAAGCAAGAAGACTGGCCTCCTATGGCATACCATTGCACCCTCTTATCTCACAGCCTTACTCCACCCAGGAGATTTAACACACACTGCTATCGACGCAGTAGCCATAAGCTGTGCAATGCTTACAGTCTCTAGAGGGCCCATCACTGCTCCTTCAGGGAACTAAAGATCCAGGCATCAGAGGATACAGAAACCAGTGGTGCAAGGCACCCAATCCCCCACTGCCCTTTATAGATGAGACAGCAGCTCATGATCTCATCAGCTGGCTATGCCAAGTAATATGCTTCCTGAAGGCCCCACCAGTTTTTGATTGTCAGGAACTGCTGGAAAGGCCATAAGATAAGTTTTTGGATAAGGCTTGTACCAATGACCACCCATCATAAGGGGGTGCAAAGAGTGGAAAACACCATATTGGAGATCCCAAATGTATTGAATCATGGAAGGTACAAGGAGAGGAAAGGGGGGAAATGGCATCATTCTCATCCACCCTCCTCTTTTTTCTCAGAGGTCTCTTCCAAACTTACACTGTGGGGCTTGTCTGGCAACACAGCACAGGAGGAGAACCTAGGCCCTTTATCACATTTACAACCTCCCTTCAGGACTAATGGGATAAGGAGGAAGGGGAATTTTTCTTGGACAAGGAAGAAAACAAACAGCCAAGTCCTGAATCCACCAAGCATTTAAAAAAAAAAAACAGACTTCTCGTGGCTTCTCAGAAAAGCCTGATGACTTTCAGATTAGAAGGAACCAAAATCCTCCCTCCCATGGAACTCCTGTGGCACAGATATTCCCTGTGGCTTTCAATCTGCCTTATATTTCCTCCTTTGTGTGAAAAATCTCTTTTCAGGGCCATGAGCTTGTGGCACAGTGGATTACTTTTTAAAACTTTCATGGTTGTCAGTATAAAATCCTTGCTTCAAATGGATATGACTAACTTGTTAGTTATCAAACCAGCTTCTCTATTGCTACTTCCCTCCATAACACTTCACTATCAGCCTGTCTGGCTGGAGTTTATAACAGTTGTAGTCTAAACACCTGAATAGTGCCAAGTTACCTACCCTGGTCTAAAGGAACCATATAACTTCAGTTGTTCCGTCCTCATACTTTTGATGAGCCAAGGCAAAGGAAAAAGAAACAGTATGATAGTGACTCTCAAGAATTATAGAATCATAGAATGTAAGGTTTGGAAGGTATTTTGGATATCATCTGCCCAATTCAGGAACCCATTGCTAAGCAGCCTATAGCACTACTACCTTAGAGTGACATAAATCTGAATAAATGAATACTACCAAAACCATGAAAGTTAAAAGGCATGGGGTATGCACTCTCAAGAAGAAAACTAATATAAGTTGGAGCCTGAAATTCTACCCATCAAAATTCCATAAACATTTCTGCGTGTTGGTGATTTAGGTCCATTCTTCCTTTTACTGTGGTCTAAAATTTTCACCCTTTATCAAAGCCACTTCTGTCTCTGGTGCTCCAGAGAATATCGCTGACCCCAGCTCCAGAGGGAAAAGTCAGAGTTGTGATTTCTGCATTCCAACAAAGTAAAAGCTAGGAGTTTACTTTTCACACTGATTACTGTGCAAAATTATATGTGCCTCTTTATTGATCACCTCTTTATTGATAAACTGCTTCTGTAGCATATTGTCAATCTACTTATTCAAACTGTTAGCCAAGATAGAGAGGCTCAGGCTCATTACCTTCATCTGTAAGCTCGTGTGCAGGATCAAGCACTTCACTATCCACCTCAAATTGAGGAAGTAGTATACTGCTGTAGCACTGTCAAGCTTCCTTTGGTATTGACATTGACTGTTCTACCTCTGCTTAATCATTACCAGTTCCTTCAGCATCAGGGTTGGTGGTTCCTATTACTTATCTTCTTCCCTCTTTACCATTTCTGAAACTTCCTCCAACTTCCCTATAACTTCAAGAGAAGATGCTAAATCTGATTTGATATCCTCTGCCTTGTTATGGTATTTGTTTTCTCCCAAACCATTGTAGTAAAAACAAATGCAAGTGTTCCTTCATCAAAAATAGTTGCTCATAGTTGGAGATTATTGGAGCTTTGTGCCTGGAGACAAAATGTTAAGTCCTGTTGGATGATAATTAGGTACTCCAGGTAGAAGTTGGCAGAAACCAGATTCTGTGCATCTTATTCCACACAGAACAGATAACCTTTATTACATTCGTGCATTTGACCTCACCTTTACTGTTTGTATTTGATCAAATTGGATAATTGTTGAGGTAGCATAGACTGGATCATCTCAGAAAACGTCTTTAACTCCAGCAGACCAAGAGGACTGTAAACTTGATAGGAAAGAGAAGAAAAGTATATTCTACAAAAAGGAAGGTGCTAGGCTTGCCAGGCAACCAATCAGTACTGTCATATAGATTGTTCTCATATAAATAAAGGCTTCATAACCTTATGGAAGTACAGTGGAACCTTGGGTTACGAACGCTTCTGTTAACGAACTTTTTGGGTTACGACCAGCTCCGGCCGCAAAATTTTGCTTCAGTTTGCAAACTCCACCTCGGGGTACGAACAGGATACACGACCATTTTCCCTCCTGTGACACGGTCCGCGGCCATTTTTCCGCCCATGACACGTGGTCCGTGGCCATTTTTCCGCCCA